ACTTTCCCTTTGCTACAACACCGAGTAAATTTCCCATCGGATGGTTTTTCATCAGAGAAATTTAGTGATAGGCAAAATTCACATCTAACAGTCATTCCACCACAACTATGGTCGAGAATTGCATCCTCATGTACTCCATTTTTGCTGAAAAGGCGCCGCATTCTGTCGCAGGTGCCGCCTTCTTTCAAGATCAGACACATGTTGCTCTTCAGACATTTTCTGTCGATAACGCCGGCATCTTTCAGCTGCAGAGCTATGTTGTATCAACAGTTATTCTTTAGACATAGTCCCACCTCTCTATTGTCACGGTCTGAGATGGAGGTGAATGAGAGTCCTGGCTGTCAGGCCGCTGAGAGCTGTCTGACCAACGGCTGATTCTGGCTGATTCTGTGGGGGTGGGACTTCCTCCTCCCTGCTGTCAGTTTCCACAGCTGTGATGAGGAAACTGGGGTGACAGAGGGAGGCACGCCCTCCAAGCCGCCCTCTCTCTCTCGCTCTGCTCTATGTCCAGTGGCCTCCTGCTCTGCCAAGTCCTCCAAACCCCCCCCCGTTCTCCACCCACTCTCCTGCTCTGCTCTCCGCCGGTGAAGGTCCTGGGAGCCCGCGGGCGTGGCTAGGCGCGGCCAGCCTCACCTCTAGGGGCCGGCAATGGTCCTGGGAGCCTGCGGCTGCCGTCACCTCCCGGGGCACTTGACACCTGCGTATGCAAATTAACCCGCCATCTTTGTCAGGTTAATTTGTATACTCCTAATTGGTTGGTGAGTGTAGTGGAGGGATGGTTAATTTACATGTTTCTCTTTTATTATATAGGAAGTTGAAATAATTTTATAATAAACATTCATATATTCGCCTGCTAGATATACAGGGTGTCCCAAAACAATGTATATACACTTTAATAGCTGATGGCTCAGTTTTGTTAATGAAATGTATTTTAATGAACACTGCCTTTAAAATTATTCAAAGTGTGTGTATACATTTTTTGAGACACCCTAGTTTTGCTTTATTGCATATTTATCTATTTATCCTCCCTTCTATCCATGCAACAATCTACCTATTCTAGATCTGTTATTGATGTGTAGTTCAAAATAATTTAGAGACAACAATATATTTAACCCTTACATTCCCATGCATAATTTGTGAGTTTAATATTTTTTACAGTTTTTTTAAATTTTGAGGTAAAATTTAAATATAGCTAAATGCATGTCTTATGGGTACCAACCAACAAATTTTGATAAATGCATTAGTGTAACCCAAATTTTTAAAAAGATAAAGATCATTACCGTTCCCCAGAAAGTTTTCTCATACCTCTTCTCAAACAATTCCAACCCGCACTCCTGAGGCAAGTACTGTTCTGTGTTTTTTATGACTAGTTTTTCTTTTTTTATAACTTCATATAAATGGAATAATATAGTGTGAGTGTGTGTGTGTGTGTGTGTGTGTGTGTGAGAGAGAGAGAGAGAGAGAGAGAGAGAGAGAGAGAGAGAGAGAGAAAGAGAAAGAGAGGATATTTTTAGATCTATCAGCATAATTTCATTGAGTTCAGAGAACATGTTCTATATGATGCCATACTCTTGCTTTGTCCCCTATTAATGGCAGTTTTCATAAATGTTGTTAATGATTATTTTCTTCTTGTTGGTTTTATGTTTCTGCATCTGTCCTTTCAGTTAACCTCATTAGTCATTGTGCCGTGCCAGCACAGCCAAGGGTTTGGTTGAGCCTGAGGGGGGACGGCGAAGGATGTAGAAAAGACAGACAATGAGAATAAGCTGGGTCTAGGTGAATCTTCCTGTGCCTGGCTGAGGCCACAGAGAGAGATCCAGACAGCAAGCTGAGCCTTTATTTTATAGCCAGAGGTAAGCAAGGTAGTGGTCACCATAGTTATAATGTTCTTGTGAGTTTTACTTGTTTTGGCGGCACTTGCTGCATCTCCTTCAGCCCATTAGCTACCTAGAAAAGATCTAGGGAGCTTCATAAGGTCAAGCCTAATTATGCTAAGAGGGCTGTGCCCTCTAAGCTGGGACTTGTTTGTGGCTTTGCCAACAGGTCAGTCCGAGGCTTAACCCTATAGCCACTCCCTACAAAGTCATGTTGTTTGTTTCTTAATTCTTTTAAAAATCTGTTGGTTCATATGTATCCTGTTCTTCATATTTTAATGTTATCTTAAAATTTTAATATAACAAAATTAATTCTTTGTGGTATACAGCTTTATGAGTTTTGACACAAGCATATGGTTGGGTCTGTATTCACAATGAAGATGCAGTTCCGTTAACTTAAAATCTATATAATAAAAGCCTGAGTGACCGTTATGGTGAAATGACCAGAACGAACAGTCTCTATGATGTGCACTGACCACCTGGGGGCAGACACTCAATGCAGGAGCTGCCCCCAGTGGTCACTGCGCTCCCACAGGGCGAGCACCGCTCAACCAGAAGCCAGGCTCACAACTGGCGAGTGTAGCAGCAGTGGTGGGAGCCTCTCCTGCCTCTGTGACAGCACTAAGGAGCAGCGAGCCGAGCAGTAAGGAACAGTGAGCAGGCAGGTAGTAAGGAGCGAGGGGTCCCAGACTGCGAGAGGGCGCAGGCTGGGCTGAGGGACTCCCCTCTCCCCTGTGCACGAATTTTGTGCACTGGGCCTCTAGTACCCTTAAATACCCTATTGTTTGTCAGCCCTTCCTCCCACGCCTTACCACTGGAAATTGCTGATTTGTTTTCAATCCCTATAGTTTTGCCTTTTTCTAAATGTAATATAAATGTAATCATACAGTTTGTAGCCTTTTGAATGATTTATTTTACTTAGCAAAATGCATTGAGATTCATCCATATTTTTGCATGTATTAATAGTTGTGCCTTTTTGTTGCTGAGTAGTATCTCATTGTATGAATGTACCATGGCTTGCTTTTTCAAAGACATTTGGGTTGTTTCCAGTTTTTGGCAATCGGGAATGAAATTGCAATAACCATTGGTATACCTAAGCTTTTATTTCTCTTGGGCAATACATAGGAGTGGAATTGCTAGGTTTTATGTAAATTTAGTTTTAACTTTGTAAGATACTAGAGGCCCGATGCATGAAATTCGTGCATAGGCCCTCGGGACCTGGCTGCCCCGCCACCTGCCCACTGGTCAGTCGAGAAGGTTTTTCTGGAAGATTGTTCCACCATCCGGTCTAATTAGCATATTAGTTCTTTATAATATAGGATAGGTTTTAAAGTATAGATTCTACTTCTTTAATTCTGTTTCGGTTACTAATTTTCTTCTTTTTTTAAAAAAATTTATTGATTTTTTTACAGAGAGGAAGGGAGAGAGATAGTTAGAAACATCGATGAGAGAGAAACATCGATCAGCCGCCTCCTGCACATCTCCTACTGGGGATGTGCCCGCAACCAAGGTACATTCCCCTGACCGGAATCAAACCTGGGACCTTTCAGTCCGCAGGCCGACGCTCTATCCACTGAGCCAAACCGGTTTCGGCACTAATTTTCTTCTTGAGTGAGCTTTGATAATTTTTGTCTTTCAAAGAATTTAGTCATCTCATCTGTTGAATTTACAGGCATGAAATTCCCCAAATCCCCTTGTTTTCATCTCTTTGTTGTTGTTAATCCTCACTTGAGGGTAGTTTTCCATTGCTTTTCAGAGAGAGTAGAAGGGAGGGAGGGATGGGAGGAGGGAAGTGTTGAGGGAGAGAGAGAGAGATCAATGTTAGAGAGAACTGGTTGCCTCCCACATGTGCCTCGAAAGGGGTGGGGAGGAGAAGCAAACCAGCAATCCAGGTGAGTGTCATTGACTGGGAATCAAACCCCTGACATTTGGTGGGTGGGCCAGTGCTCCGAACTCTGAGTCATACCAGCCAGGGTCCCTGGTTTTCCTTTGTAATAATCTGTAGAATCTGGGTAAAGTTAATATTTGAAATTTGTCACTTCTTTTTTTTCCTGTTCACTTTGGCTGGAGGTTAATCAATTTTACAGATCTTCTCAAAGAACTAAGCTTTGGTTTCATTGATTTTTGGCTATTGATTTTGTTTTCTGTTTGTTGACTTCCATTCTGATTTTTATTTCCTTTTTTTTCTTTAGGTTTAACATAATATAGAAAAAAATTTTTTCTCTCTCTCTGGAAGTAAATTGACAGATTTTGGAACTCTGGACTCAATCTACATTGTGTGTGTGTGTGTGTGTGTGTGTGTGTGTGTGTGTGTGTGTTTGGTTTTTAGGTGAGAAGATAGGACTTTGCTAATAAGATTTCAGAGAATGTGACTGTTTTTCATTAGAAGGACACAAGATTTTCTTTCTATTTTGAATATTGATTTTTATGCCTGTTCATTTGACATCTGTTTCTAATTATAAATGAAGTATATCTATAAATTATGAAAGTACTTCAAATTCCCATGACTAGCCCTGTGAAATTTACCACACATAGAGCTATCAAAGTTAAATATGTGATGTCCTTTTAAGTGAGGCAAAATATTGTGAGAAATAAAATTCTGTTCCTGTCTCTAACCTTAGCAATTATTTAACCTAAGGACTATACAGTGTTTACTTGAACTCAGAATATAAAACATTTAAATCCTGAGTTCTTCCCAAATGAGTAACCATTAATTGAGATATAAGGTAGTTGTGGATTTGTTTTTATTTGGTGTGTTTTGATATACAAGATTAAGAAATTTCTGTTGTGGATGGAGTGAAATTTGAATTACTCTTTTAGATTACCTTCCAAAGCCTGAATTAAAATTAAGGAAATAAATTGCTCTACTGTTTGAGCATTTTACTTAAATAGTAAAGCAGATTTGATTTCCATTGTATATAACAATGATTCTATTTTTTAGAAATGAAATTTGTTTGAAAATCAGTTTTTCTTTCTAAATGCTTATCTTTTTATATATTCTTGAATTAGAAATATAGGTGTTATTAGAAATTGGAGTATTGCTAGAGGGATGTGATAATTACAGTACTACAAGAAAATTATTTTATTTACTTTTCTAATTGTTTAATGTTACATTTTATCTTTTAGATCCTATTTGACCAAACTCAGAGATCAATTAAGGCACAGCTTCAGAACTTTGTTAAAGAGTAAGTCAATTGCAGTGAAGGAAAAAGTAAAGCATTTAGTTAATTATTACATATAGAAGTTGGTATCTTTGGAGAGAAATATGGAAGAAATAATGAATTACAAAAATATTAGAGCTTTTTTGGTTTTGCTTTGTGAAATGTATATTGCACTTTTTCCAGAAGTATTTTATATAGAATCAGACTTAATGCCTTATAGTGAATCATTTATGCTGTGAAAGATGTGTTCAAGATACATAGCTAGAATTGTTATTAATTAAATAAATAAATGTAAATAATCCAATGACCTTTCACAATCAAAGCAAACCTCAAGAGTAGTTGAAATATTATCAGTTATTATAGTTGATATTAAATTTTGCATTCTCTCAATATGGTATTTTCTTTGAAGAGTAGTTAATATATGGGAATGACTAATGAAAGTGCATGAGTTTTGCTACATATGAGCTTTTCGTGTCACATTCATTACATTTCTAAAAAATATCCAACTTTTCTTTTTTCACACTAATAATTCAGATTTCCTCTTTTAATTCCTGACTGAAAATTATATTCAGTTACAGATAAAGTTGATGATAATACAGTATTCAGGATAAATTATAGATGTTATGAGCTGTAAATAGTGGCAGATCACAGAAATATAAGCATTGCCATTTTAATAGGTTAGAATTGTTATAGTGGAGGTGATGTCTTGCAGATTCTTTATAAATTACTTCATAATAGGCTAATATTCAGAATGTCCTGATAGAATGTATACATGGCAGTTGATGGCTTCTTACAAGAGTTCTTTCTTAGGTAAACTTTATTATTATTATTTTTAAATTGTCTTCAAGTTATTTTGCCGACTTCCCTGATAGAAAAAGTAAAAGCAAAGTGATATTATATGCTTACCTAAGATTATTAATGAAATCAAGGATTTCAGATTTTCACACTATTGAAATGGATACTGTTATCCTTTATGGGTACAAGAATTCTTTGAGAAAGCATTATAAATTTGTGTTTTAAGAATACATTCATATCCTTTGGGCCAGTGGTTCCCTTCAACAAGAAATGAATGTTGTTTCTTAAAGTGTGGTCTGAGACCACCCATAGCAGTAAAACCAAGGGTGTGTCTTAACACCCACTCCCTCCTCCCCACAAAGATTTCTATGATTCATCACAAAGACTAATGAATTGTAATCTCTGGAAGAGGAGATGACATTTGCATGTTAAATTTGCATTTTTAACAAGTTCTCTGTGGTGATTTTTATGTATACTACTACTTAAAAATCATTTGTTTAAATAATGATACATGTCCCTGAATTTGTTTTTAGGGGGAAAAATTAACTTTGCCTTTTATGTTTCTGTAATGTTAATTTGATAATTTATTTTCACCTCAAATTCATAGATCTAAGTAAGGAAATGTTAGGTGACTATCTTGGGAATCATATATAATTGAAAACAATATATATTGTAGTCAGAAGAACTATTGAGTGTTATTGCACAGTGAATCAAATAAGTAGAGGAACATAAAAATTAAATTCTAAGTGCTTTTGCTAAAATTTTTGATCAAGAAAATTTTATAAAGTTTAACTTTTTATTTTTTAGAGATCTTAGAAAATTCAAAGATGCCAAGAAGCAATTTGAAAAAGTCAGTGAAGAGAAAGAAAATGCACTAGTGAAAAATGCTCAAGTACAGAGAAACAAACAGCACGAAGTTGAAGAAGCCACAAACATTCTGACAGCAACAAGAAAATGTTTTCGACATATAGCCCTCGACTACGTTCTTCAGGTATATTTATTAAAAAATGCTTACTAGGTGGAGGGGGTCAACTGGGGATAAAAAGGGGACATCTGTAATACTTTCAACAGTAAAGATTAAGAAAAATGCTTAATGAACATGTCTTACTTTTGAGTGGTTGCACTGAAAATAATGTATTTTTTTAGTTTAAAATTAAACCAAAATTTTGTGAAAAAATTCACTTGTTTGTATATCTGTCTCTCTGTGGATATGTATAACTCTGCTTGTGATTTCTTCCCCTTTAAGTTAACTTTATACTTTCCTCCATTTAAAATGTTGTAAAAAGCATTTTTAATTGCTATATTTTATTTTGTGGAGTTGCTGTGTTAATTTAATTAATATTCGATTGAGACATTTTTAGTGTTGCCATTTTTACTGGCAGTAGTGAAAATATAGTTTTCAATAATTTTAAGTGGTGATAACATCTTTGCATACAGATCTTCCTTGCCACATTTCTGATTATTTCTTTAGGGTAGATTCTAGAGGTACTAAGGCTCACTGTATTGCCAAATGAAAAATATTTCTAGAAGTAGTATTCTCATGTTTTGTGTTAGGACTAGGTGCTGCTTTTTAAAACTAGAGATCAGTGTCTGGTAAGTTGCCTGGTGGTCTTCTGGTCCAAAGTATAATTGAAACCAATTTGAAGGTAATAGGTCTCTAAAGAAATTTGAGAGAAATGTAAAATGAAGGCACACATTATACATTATTTCACATGTACATTATGTGTCCCTATAGATCATGGAGTGTTGTAAAACAGCAGTGAGTCCCCAGAAATTGTTGACTTAATGATGATCACAGACTATTTCTTAAAGCAATACATAAATAACAGTATATAAGCTAGTGATTAAAAACTAATCAGATAACTTTGCAGAATAGTAGAAAGTGACTAAGATTTTTTTCTCTTAAGTTCCCGTTTAATGAGTGGAAAGTTAAATTTTAAAGGAGTGAAGTAAACTACCTTTATTAATGAAAGGCTTCTAGAAGAGAGTAGTCTGTATGTTCTGTCTTCTGTTACCTACCTCCCATTCATACCACTTCCTGTGGTAGTATGAGTTCTCAGTCTTCCTATACCATTACACTAAAATGCTCATGCTAGTGTTATTCATTAGATACTTTTTAGTTTTTATCCAACTTGACCGTTATGTTTCACTGAAAATTTAGGCCATACTCTCCTTGAAATATACTTTAATCTTGATTTATCTTTAACCATTTTTAGATGATCATCATCTGTTTCTTTTCCATTTCTACCATGGACTTCTCTCCTTTGCCCACCTTTTCACTCTCTTTTTCAGGTTTTATCTTTGGTTCTATTCTTTTCTGACTATAATTTCTCTGACAGTCTCATCATGCTCCCTTGCTTGAATTACCACCTTATAGAGATGACAGATTCTTTTTTTTTTCTTTTCCACATAAGTACCTCATTCTTTTTGTGTCCAAAGCTTAAATCTTCTTCCTAAACAGCTTCTTTTTGTTCTTTCCTAACTGAATAGTAACACCCTCTTAAATCATAGAAGTTCAGATTTGGAGGATTATATCAGATATTCCCCTCATCCTCAGCTACTATATCTAACAACCAAAACTGCCTTGAAAAGTTCTGTGTACCTCTTAAATCTGTTCTCTCACTCTTTTTTTTAATATATTTTTTTATTGATTTTTTACAGAGAGAAAGGGAGAGGGATAGAGAGTTAGAAACATTGATGAGAGAGAAACATCAATTCAGCTGCCTCCCGCACACTCCCTACTGAGGATGTGCCCACAACCAAGGTACATGCCCTTGACCTGAATCGAACCTGGGACCCTTCAGTCCGCAGGCTGATGCTCTATCCACTGAGCCAAACCAGTTAGGGCTGTTCTCTCACTCTTGCTGTAGCCCTCACACAAGTTCTTACTGTTGTTTTTTTTTAATCTAGAGTATTAAGATGTTCTCATGCAGTTGATCTTTCTTGCATTGTTTTTACTACCCCCATTATTAATTCATTCTCTGTTCTGTGGTCAGAGTTACTCAAATTTCTCCATGCAAAGTGAATTATTTTTGCCTCTGCCTCCTCTGTGCTGCACTAATATTGTCATACACATTGCTGTTGGAGCACTTAACCCATTTATTCTAATTATTTATTTATATGTCTTTTCTACTCCTAGATTGTATCCTTTCCCTCTAGTGTGGTGGCTGGAAAATAGGTAATGCATGTTTTGTGAGAGAACGAATGGCTTAATTTTTTTTTCTTAATCCTTACCTGAGGATATTTTTTTCCCACTGATTTTTAGAGAAAGTGGAAGGGAGGGAAGGGGAGAAACAGCAATGTGAGAGAGAGACATTAATTGGTTGCCTCCTGCACATACACTGAGGGGCAGGGATTGAACCTGAAACACAGGTACATGCCCTTCACTGGGAATTGAACCCACGACATTTTGGGGTATGGGCGGATGCTCTAAGCACTGATCAACATTGGCCAGGGCCAAATAGCTTGATTTTAAATTTAATTTGGGAAGGGGGATACAGCTAAAATATTCATTATTTTCAAACACATATAAATTTTCCATTTTCTTTGGTGTCCATCCAATAGTTTTGTTAAGAGTTCCAACTTCCCTTTAACTATTAGTTTGTTTGATTTTTCTGATGAGAACTGTTGTGTCATTATATGGCCAAAGTGTTTTAGAGAATGTTAAGTAATAAATATCCAGATTTATAAAAGTTTTCATGATTTAGCTTCTCTAAATATTTGAGTTTACTTTTTCCCCCCCATTTGTTTTTTATTTGTATGTTTTTGTTTGTTTGTTTTTTGTTTTTAATCCTCACCTGAGGATATTTTTCCATTGATTTTTAGAGAAAGTAGAAAGGAGAGGGAGAGACAGAGAGAAACACTGATGTGAGAGAGACACATCAATTGGTTGCCTCCGGCATGCCCGGGACTGGGACTGGGACCAGGACCAGGAACCTGCATCCGAGGTATGTGCCTTTGACCGGAATCGAACCCGGGACCCTTCATTCTGCAGGTCAACACTCTATCCACTGAGCCAAACCAGTGAGGGCTTGAATTTACTTTTATTCCCCTAAGTAAATGCTGTTTTTCATTAACAGACAAGGCAAAAAAACAAACAAAACAAAGGCACTTTTAACATTTTTCAGAGTTTGAATAATAGGTTATCTGTAGCCTCTAATTTTACTTAGAATATTTGAAAGTTAATATTTTAGTTCTCAAAACTAAATAGGCCTTGAAAGAGATAAGCAGAAGAAACTAGGGCTTAGTTAAGCAAATATATTTGGGTATTTCTTGGTCTGTTTTTGTTTTCTGATCAGTGCTTTAAAATTATTTTATAAATCAACAGACAGAATAATCAGTGAGAAGAACATATTAAAAAGGCAGGTATTCTGCAGTCTTTTGACAATATTACTAAAAAGTGAATGATTCTTTTCAATGATTTTATTTTACTAAATTGATATATAATAACAGACAAAAATAAAGTGTTTGTTTATGAATTTCGAGAGTTGGGAGACATACCACAAAATGCAAAGTTCATAATTTACTGATCTTTTAGTAAGTTTAATCTAATTAAAATATTTATTTAAAATCTATTTAACAAATATTTATTGAGTACTTACTACATACCACTTGGAGAATACACCTGGAAATAAGGCAAGGCCTTCATCTCACAGAGCTACACTTTAGCTGGGGAAAAGACATACATAAGAAAATATAAGGGCCCTGGCTCAGTTGGTTGGGCGTCATCCTGTGTACCAAAAGGTTGCTGGTTGGATTCCTGGTCAGGGCACATTTCTGGTTTTCAGGTTTGATCCCCTGAAGGGGATGTGCAGGAGTCAGCTGATCAGTGTTCCACTCTCACATCAATGTTTCTTTTTCTTCCTCTCCCTTTTCTCTAAAAATTAATAAAAAATATTTTTAAAATTAAACAAAAGAAGAACATATAAGGTAGTTAATTATTGCTATCCTATATAATAAAAGGCTAATATGTAAATCGACCAGAACGACCAGTTGCTATGATGCGCACTGACCACCAGGGGGCAGACGCTCAGTGCAGGAGCTTCCCCCTTATGGTCAGTGTGCTCTGTGGGAGCACTGCTCATCCAGAAGCCAGGCTCAAGGCTGGAGAGTAGAGCGACAGTGGCAGGAGCCTCTCCCGCCTCCACAGCAGCATTAAAGATGTCCGACTGATGGGTTTAGGCCCACTCCCTGTGGGCCTAAGCCAGGGGTGGGCAAACTTTTTGACTCGAGGGCCACAATGGGTCCTTAAACTGGACCGGAGGGCCGGAACAAAAGCATGGATGGAGTGTTTGTGTGAACTAATATGAATTCAAAATAAACATCATTACATAAAAGGGTACGGTCTTTTTTTTTTATTTTTATTCATTTCAAACGGGCTGGATCCGGCCCGCGGGCCGTAGTTTGCCCACGGCTGGCCTAAGCCCACAGTCAGACATCCCCGAGGGCTTCTGGACTGCGAGAGGACATAGGCCAGGCTGAGAGACACCCCCCCCCCCCCGAGTGCACGAATTTTGTGCACCTGGTCTCTAGTGAATAAAATAAATAGGGTTGATATACTAGAGAGTGTGTATGGGCCTACTTTAGACCTTTGTAAAGAGATAGTATTTAAACTATCTTAACATGAAGTTCGAACAGCCAGTATGCAGGCATTGAGGTGGGAGTAGTATTGGGTTGTGGTTGAACACAAAAGGGGAAAGTGGCCCTGGCTGGCTTGGCTCAGTGGATAGAGTGCTGGCCTGAGGACTGAAGGGTTGCCGGTTCGATTCCGGTCAAGGGCATATGCCTGGTTTGCGGGCTTGATCCCCAGTGTAGGGTGTGCAGGAGGCAGTCGATCAATGATCCTCTCTCATCATTGATGTTTCTATCTCTCCCTTCCTCTCTGAAATCAATAAAAATATATTAAAGAAAAAAGGGGAAAGTGGTAGAAAAGTAGGTTGGCAAGGTAGGCAGGGGCCAATCACAAAGGATCTTGAAGGCTGTGGTAGGGAGTTGGAAAGTTTCAAGCTAGATGGAACATGATCTTATTTACATTTTAAAAAGATCACTCTGGTTGCTGAATGGATTGTAGGAAGTCAAGAGCTGAAACACTAGTTCATAGACTATTGCAGTAGTCTAGAAGAGATATGATGGTGGTTGATGATAGTGGTAAAAGTGATGACAGTTTCATTAGGATATATGTTGAAAGGTCTTGATGAGCAAATCAGGTAAGAAAGGTGGGGAAAAGACGGAATTCTAAGAAATTTAAATATCTATCAAAATGATAGTTTTAGTACTATAATATTATGATTTAAACTCAGCCAGTTTTTCTTTGAGATCAAAAATGGATTAGAATTTCATTGGTATGTTTGTCCTAACAGTTTTCACAAAAAGTAGGGTGAAGGGTGAAAATTTTGAATTTTGTTTTTATTTACTTTTTAGGAGAAATGTTAAATAACAACTTTTACAATATTGCATTATGGATTAGTTTTTAAAATAATGTGTGGATGATTAACCAAGTGTATTTTCCCTCAGATTAATGTCCTTCAATCAAAAAGGAGATCAGAAATCCTAAAATCAGTAAGATATTTATTGAAATGATGTTTTAAATATTTTAATATGAAATTACATGTACATATTTAAGTGTTGAAAGAAGCGTGTGTATGTGTGTGTATGTACATATTTATTCCAGGTTTATAATTAATCTTTTTATTTATCTTTTTGTACTAATTATATGTCATCCACTTTTTTGTCTCTGTCATCTTATAGTTATTTGTGTGTGTCTCATCACTTAATACACTGATCTCCTTAAATCAGACATTTAAATATTTAAGATTCAGGGCATACATAGTCAGCATTTAGAGAATTTTTTCCCTAGGGTTGCTGATAATGTATCAGCCTTTAGGTTTGTTCTTTGGTGTGCAGTTAGAAAACAAATGGGATGAAAATTAAGGATCACTTTTTTCCCCCTTAGCTTCTGCACCCATGTTGACATTGATTTTTTTTCTTATTTTTTGTTTTAAAGTTAATAAGTAAATGGGCAGGGAATGGTAGTGATATGGCATTACACTTTTATATTTTGAAAATCTTAGAAATAATTTTTCCTGTCTGACTTCGTTCACTGACACTATTTTTTTTTCTCTGAAAGGGTATACTTAAATTGCTCTTCATTCTTATCCCTATGTATATTTTTCCTAAATTTTGTGTATCCTCCTATATAATAAAAGAGAAACATGCAAATTAACCATCCCTCCGCCCACTCTCAAGCCACGCCCTTAAGCCAATCAGGAGCGAGTATGCAAATTAACCCAGCTAACATGGTGGCGGCCACGGGGCTGGAGCGAGCAGGAGGCTTGGGTTGCCCCAACGATGGAGGAAGCCAAGCTTCCTGCCTGTCCTGGCCGGCCCTCGGCTCCACTCAAGGCTACAAAGTTTCAATTATACAAGATCAATAAATCCCAGAAAAAAAAGGAAAAAAAAAAGAGGCTGGGAGCTTGGGTCGCCATGGGGCGTGGCCAGCCTGAAAACGGCCATCAGCCCCTCACCCAGGCTGGCCAGGCACCCCCCCACCCTGAAGGGGCTGTGGGCAGCCTGAAAACGGTCCTCAGTCCTTCACCCAGGCTGGCCACACCCCCATGGGGTGAGGGTCCCCACTGGGGGTCTTGGCCAGCCTGCAAACAGCCCTCAGCCCCTCACCCAGGCTGGCCACACCCCCATGGGGTGAGGGTCCGCACTGAGGGGCTGGCCAGCCTGCAAACAGCCATCAGCCCCTCACCCAGGCTGGCCACACCCCCATGGGGTGAGGGTCCGCACTGAGGGGCTGGCCAGCCTGCAAACAGCCATCAGCCCCTCACCCAGGCTGGCTAGGCACCCCAGTGGGGACCCCCAGCATGAAGGGGATGTGGCCAGCCTGAAAATGGCCCTCAGCCTCTCACCCAGGCTGGCCAGGCACCTCAGTGGGATCCCTACCCTTATCCGGGACACCCTTCAGGGCAAACCAGTTGTCCCCCACCAGTGCACCAGGCCTTTATTCTATATAATAAAAGGGTAATATGCAAATTGACCCTAACAGCAGAATGACTGGGAATGACTGGTCACTATGACACACACTGACCATCAGGGGTCAGATGCTCAATGCAGGAGCTGCTCCCTGGTGGTCAGTGCGCTCCCACAGGGGGAGATCTGCTCAGCCACAAGCCAGGCTGACAACTGACAGCACAGCGGTGGTGGCGGGAGGCTCTCCCACCTCCTCAGCAGCGCTAAGGATGTCCGACTGCAGCTTAGGCCTACTCCCCGCTGGCAAGTGGACATCCCCCGAGGGCTCCTGGGCTGCCAGAGGGATGTCTGATTGCCAGTTTAGGCCTGATCCCCTGGGGAGCGGGCCTAAGCCAGCAGGTGGACATCCCCCGAGGGGTCCCAGACTTCGAGAGGGCACAAGGACCCCCCCCCCCCAGTGCACACATTTTTGTGCACCAGGCCTCTAGTATAGATATATTTGTTATTTTTTAATCTGATAATTACATTTTACTTTTGGTTTACATCTACCTCCTCTGATTGAGAGTAATGTATGTTAGTTATAGGAAATTGGAAAATAAAATGCATGAAGAAATAAATAAAAATACTTATAAATCTTACCACCAAGGGAGAACCACTGTTAATATCTTGGTTTATATCTTTGTCTTTTTTTCTCTTTTTCTGTATGTATGTATGTATATGTGAACATTTCTATATACTTTTTAAAAATTGCATTTAATTTTTTAAAGAAAATAGGAATAATTTCTGTATACTGTTTCATCACTTTCTTTTTTCACTAATACACTCCAAAATCATCAGATGCCATTAAAATATTTTTTATGCAATGATGACTTTTGTTGCCAGGCAGAGCTCCACCATGTGAATTTACCAGGGGTGAGCAAACTTTTATTTTTGAAGGGCTAGGTAGTAAATATGTTAGGTTTTGTGAGCAATATGGTCTGTTTCACATCTACTCAAGCTGTGCTGCTGTTATCAGAAAGCAGCCATAGATAATATATAAATGAATGACATGGCTATGTTCTAATAAAACTTTATGGACATGGAAATTTTAATTTCATATAATTTTCATGCATCATGAATTTGATGTCTTTTCATTTTCTTTCAACCATTTCAAAATGTAAAACCATTGTTAGCTCATAAGCCATCAAAATACAATTGGTAGATATAGTTTGCTAATCATAGGTTGCTGACTTTGAATATGCCATACATTAACTTCACTCATTAGTGGATTTTTAAGTAATTTTCATGTTTTTGACATTAAAGTATAACATTATAATGACTGTTCAAATGAATAATATGATTATTTCCTTAGTATAAATAAAAACAAGAGATTACTTAGTCAAAGGGTATAAACCAGGGGTCCTCAAACTTTTTAAACAGGGGGCCAGTTCACTGTCCCTCAGACGGTTGGAGGGCCGGACTATAGTTAAAAAAAAAAACTATGAACAAATTCCTATGCACACTGCACATATCTTATTTTGAAGTAAAAAAACAAAACGGGAACAAATACAATATTTGTATTTGCATGTGGCCCGTGGGCCGTAGTTTGAGGACCCCTGGTATAAACACTTATTAGGACTTAAAAAAAATACTGTCAAATTTCAAGGGTTGCACAACATTTCCACCAGTAGTGCGTGCAAGTAAACATTTCCCCATCTTTTACCAATGCTGGGTATTAGTTATAATCGGGTAGATAATGTGATATGATTGTTCAATTTTACTTTTATTTAATTCAAATGAATTTGAACAGTTTTTCCATATATTTTTTGTCCACTTGAGTTCCTTATTTATGTCCTTTGTCTCTTTATCTTTTGGCATGTTCATCTTTTTTATACTGATTTATAACCTCTCTTATGTATTAAGACTATTAACCCTTTGTCATGTGTTGTTTTCCTAGTTCATCATTTATTTTTTTAATATGCATATGAGTTTTGATGTGCTGGCATATTTTACATTTTTATGTAGTTGTAGCTATTAATATACCCCCTTTTAAAATATAATTCAGTGTTTTTTATAATATTCACAAAATTGTTCAATCATCTTTTAGTGAGCTTTGTCTTTGGGTATTATTTAATTGTTTTTTTCTCTTTAAAATTTTCTTTGGAAGAATTCTTAAGTACTATGAACCTTATGATCTATTTTAGATTTCAGAGAATTAAACATGGGTCATCTTGCTAAAAATAACATGGTTGTTAGAGGATTCTTTTAATATTGATTATTTGATTGAATTGTTTATTTCTTTCTCATGTGCCAACTTAACTAATAAAAGTAGAGGTGATTTTTCTCTCATGTATAGGTAAAATATAAGAAATTTGGAAAAAAATCTCAATCCATGAATGACATTTTAGATTTTTGGAATGAGTAGAAAGAAACCTCCATAGCAAAGTCTGTTGACTCATTTTATTTTGGTATCTTGAGCAAATATGAGCATTCCCCTACTTTGGGTTGTGCTTGGTAATCTAGTAGGTTGTAAAGTGTTTGTGATGGTTTTGTTTTATTTTGAGTACTTCATATTTCTCCTTTTAATCTTTTAATGTCTTATTTGCAGTTTAAGTTTTCACCAGTGAATTTGGTTGAAAGTCACAGAGATATTCCATAGTGTACCTAGTTATTTTGTGGAGCTATTGAAAACTTGATTCTTCGAACTATTACTATGAAAATTTTGATCATTTAGATATAGTCCAAACAATTAAAATTTGGTGCATTATTAAAATTTTGAACCGTTTAGATATTTCTTTTAAATAAAAATTGTCATATTTGTAAGTATTTCTAAAACACTCTTTTTTATGCATATTATTTCTTCTTAAAAATATTTTTTATTCATTTTAAAGAGAGAGGAAGAGAGAGGGACAGAGAGATAGAAACATCGATGAGAGAGACACATCTATCGGCTGCCTCTTGCACAATCCCCACTGGGGATCGAGCCCGCAACCCAGGCATGTGCCCTCACCAGGAATTGAACTGGGGTCCTCTTGGTTCATGGGTCGACACTCAACCACTGAGCCATACCAACCAGGCTCTAAAATACTCTTTTAAGAAAAATGATCCAGTTTAATTTTAAATAGGTTTGATATTTTGGTCTCTTGTGGAATAATTTCAAACATTAGGTAGGATAAGGATTTTTAAGAATTTTGAATTGTTTATCTAAGAATTGATTTTAAAATGCTAATCTTTTTTTCTTCTATTAGATGTTATCCTTTATGTATGCCCACTTGGCCTTCTTTCATCAAGGATATGATCTATTTAGTGAACTTGGGCCCTACATGAAGGACCTTGGTGCACAGGTATACTCTTGATTCTTTGTTATACACTGACATATGAATTTTTAAAAATTGAGATATAGTTGACATATAACATATTACTTGAAGGTATATAATAAAGTGATTTTATACACACACACACACACACACACAAAAGATCATCATAATAAGTCTAATTAATATCCATCACTTCCTATTGTTTTAAATCTTTTCCTCTTGATGAGAACTTTAAAGATCTATTCTCATATCAACTTCAAATATATAATACAGTATTATTTACTATAGTCACCATGCTGTACATTACATTACAGGACTTATTTTTTTATTTTTTTAATATATTTTATTGATTTTTTACAGAGAGGAAGGGAGAGAGATAGAGAGTTAGAAACATCGATGAGAGAGAAACATCGATCAGCCGCCTCCTGCACACCTCCTATTGGGGATGTGCCCGCAACCAAGGTATATGCCCTTGGCCGGAATCGAACCTGGGACCTTTCAGTTCGCAGGCCGACGCTCCATCCACTGAGCCAAACCGGTTAGGGCTGCAGGACTTATTTTATAACTGAAAGTTTGTAGCTTTTGACCCTCTTTACCCATTTTGCTCATCTCCTATTCCGCTTTTGGCAACCTCCAAACTGCTTTCTGTATCTATGAGTTTGGGTTTTTTGGTTTGTTTGTTTTTTAGATTCTACATATCATATGGTATTTATCTTTCTCTGAGGTATTTCACTTAGCATAAAGCCCTCAAGGCCTATCCGTGTCCTAAATGGCAGAATTTTTTTTTTCCCTTTAAAGAATAGTTTATTGATTTTTAGAGAGGAAGGAAGAGGGGGAGAGAGAGAAACATCAATGTGATAGAACCAGAAACATCATCTAAACGATGCCTTTTGCATGCCCCCTCCCAGGAATGCAGCCTGTAACCCCGGCAATGCCCTTGACCAAGAATAGAATTGGTAACCTCCTGGTGCATAGAACTATACTCAACCAACCAACTGAGCCACACAGGCCAGGATTCTTTTTTTTTTCTTTTTTTTTTTTTTAAATGGCTGAAAAATATTTCATTTCATTTATATGGCATATTTTCTTTATCCATTCATCCATCGATGGACACATAAGTTGTTTCCATGTCTTGGCTATTATAAATAATGCTGCAATGGACATGGGGATGCAGATACCTTTTTGAGTGTCTTTGTTTTCTTCAGATAAATACCCAGAAGTGGAATTGCTGGAACATATGGTAGTCCTATTTTTATTTTTTGAGAAACCTTCATACTGTTTTCTATACTGGCTGTATCAGTTTACATTCCTACCAACAGTGTACAAGGGTTCCTTTTTCTCTACATTCTTGCCAACCTTTGTTATCTCTTGTCTTTTTGATAATAGCCATTCTAACAGGTATGAGGTAATAATCTCATTATGGTTTTGATTTGCATTTCCCTGATGATTGGTGACATTGCATACCTTGTCATGCACTTTTTGGCCATCTGCATGCCTTCAGTGGAAAAATATCTGTTCAGATCTTTTGCCTGTTTTAAATTGGATTGTTTGGGTTTTTTTTACTATTGAATTATATGCATTCTTTATATATTTTGGATATTAACCGCTTATCAGATATTGGATTTGCAGGTACTTCCTGCCATTTGATAGGTTGCCTTCTCATTTTATTGATGGTTTCCTTTGCTGTGCAAAAGGTTTCAAGTTTGATGTAGTCTCACTTATTTATTTTTGCTTTTGTTGCCTTTGCTCTGATGTTTATATTTTAAAAGAAATTTAGCATATTAGGGAATTTAATATTCTCTTACTTAATGAAGAAGTTGGATGCTACAGCAGATTTATGTAGGATTAAATGTGTAACCAAAAATGAGATTAAAGTTAAAAAATTTTATAGAAAGTATATGAGAGTACTAAAAAGGAGAATTTAAAAACATAGTGTCTGTTTTACAGTATACGTGATTTAGTTTTCTTTTTAAAAAAATATTTTTATTGATTTCAGAGAGGAAGGGAGAGGGAGAGATAGAAACATCAATGATGAGAGAGAATCACTAATCGGCCGCCACCTGTATGCCCCCTACTGGGGATCAAGCCCGCAACCTGGGCATGTGCCCCTGACCGGAATCGAATCCGGGACCCCTCAATCCATGGGCCGACACTCTACCCACTGAGTCAAACAGGCCAGGGCTAGTTTTCTTTTCTTATATTTGGAAAATTGAGTTACTGTCTTAATTGATTTTTCATTTGAGTTATAGCTTTTTGTTTTAAAAAATGTTGTATTTTGCTATTTTGAATAATAAAATTTTAGAAGTTTAAGATTATAGAACTTTGTGAACTTTTTCATTTTATATAAATACATGAACATGTGTGAATTATACATATATAAGACTATTACAGAAATTTCAGTATGTTCAAATTATTTTTGATACATGATCAGAACTTTATATTAGATCTGTTCTGGGACATTTTTTCTTGTTGATTGGTGAACTCTCCAGATTTAATAGTATCAACTTTTAGGTAATTATTTTCTTTTCCATATCGTTCTGGTTACTTTTTTGAGGAAAGGAAATTAAAGATGAAAACTAGAGTTTAGGAAAATGGGGAAAGGGTAATAGTGGGATCAGAATTGCATTCAATGAGCAAAAATATATATGGTGCATGCTCATGTGTGTTGGTGTGGTGGTAGGGAGCGATGGTGTACAGGGCATATGCCATGAGTTAGAGTGATACTGTGTTCTGCCTCTAAAGAACTTAATTTATTGGAAGAAACCAACAAGTTACCAGACTGTTATTCTCTGTGCTAAGTGCCCTGTCTGGGTATATAAATTGAGATTAGGTTTGTTTGCAATATGATAAAAAACTGAAAAGTAGTAGCCTCAATAATACAGAACTTTATTTCTCATATGTAAAGTCGAAGAAAGGTCTGATATGGTAGTCACTTGGTCTTCAGCCTGTTAAACTCACAATGTTCAATACTAATAGAAACATGGGGTACTTTCTGTTGTGCTCCAAACTCTTTGTTCCTGATACAGTTCAAGCATCTAGGAGTCAAGACTGCTAGTCTTCACATCTCCCCAGCTCATACCTCCCCTAACTCTCCTCCACGTTGACAAATACTATTTTTCCTTAATACTTCTCCAACAGATTAGGAGGGGGAATTTTCCCTCTTTCTGCTGCAATAGCAGTGGAGTGGAATGCAGAAGCAGAATTTACTACCAGTTTGACAGGCAGAAAAGCATCACTTGCATTGCAGTACTGTGTGGAAGGTACATGCCCTCAAGTTTATAGATATTAGGTTGAATTTTGGAGGTTTCCCTGTACTGCACTTCAATCTGAATGAACGAATATTATTTATATACTATTCAATTAAAGGCTATAAAACCATGGGATAAGGATTATTCAGTATAGGAAACTATTGAGGACAAACATTTTCCTAGTGTAGCATGTATCAGCATTACCCATTAAATCAGTGTTACATGTCACTAAGGTATGTATGTATTAGATCCTATAGTGGAGTAGTAAAGTTACTATCTAAATAAAATATTTTACAGTAGTGACAGTTCTGTTTCAGTGTTTTCTTTGATTCTTTATTACTATTCAGTGATATTAAGACTCTGTGGCCAGAATATTCTCCTGTAAAAAAAAACCAAACAAAAAAAACAACCCCACATCATTTGTGATACAGAGTGAATAAAGGATCAAATAGTTTTTTTAAAATTAATTAATTTTATCTTTATTGTTGAAAATATTAAAGATGTTCCCCCTCTTCCCCCTATTCACCCCCTCCACTATGCTTCTGCCCTGCCCCAGGCCTTCACCACACTATTGTCTGTGTCCATGGGTTATGCATATATGCATATAAGTTTTTTGGTTAATCTCTTCCAGCCCCACCCTCCCCCCTTCCCTCTGAGATTCATCAGTCTGTTCCATGCTTCTGTGTCTCTTCAGATAGTTTTTAAGAAGGCCTTTATCCAATTTAGTTTTTAAAGCATATCAATTAAAGCATTTGGATATTTTAGTACTTTAACTTCCTCCATATTCCATTTATATTTTTATTTATTCATTTATCACACATTAATCAGTTAGAGGTGATGGGGGAGGGGATGGTGGTCCAAAGATGAAATGACATTCATCACAGTCTAGAAGAGTCAAACCACATAATAGAGTATTTATAACCCAATTGTTTGTTATTCTAGCAAAGAGGAGTTCAAGAAGTCAGTGAATTTGTCTTCATACTGGAAATCAGATATTTCTCTTCATGGAAGTTCATTTTTTCTGATGGAAAGGAACAAGAAAGAAATGGGATTTTATGATTTTATTTTGTGATTTTTGAGCTTTAAAAAACACTTAAAAATTGGTAATTTTATACCCTGGTCTTAAGAATAATTACTACTTTATTACTATTTTTTAGCTTTCTCTTTTCTATGAATTATTTTTTCTAGCTTAGATTTGATTATAATATTAGGAAGCCAACTTGAAAACAGGAAGTATCTTATCCTGGTGAACTTCTGAGAGCTGCCATATACTAGCTTAGCTGCTATTTTTTGCTATTGCAGAAAAAACAATCACCCGTGTATCTTCTTTCTATCTTTGATTGTAATTACCAGAATTGCTGAGTGGGTCAGCAGGCAATTGAAGCTGGAGTCATTTTCCTTGTTCAAGAAGTGAACAAGTTATCTCTGTTGTATTCTTAACCAGGCATCTTGTCACATTTGTTTGAAGCATGGTTATTCTTAGAAACATTTTCCTTAGAGTTATGGACCTTTTCAAGGAGGATTTGATACTAGAAAACAAAATAAAACAAAAACATCTCCAATTCAAAGTTATAGCCAAAATGCTTTCTTAAAGTTCATTTAAATTGACTTACTGGGACTATGCTTATAAATATAAGCATACCGTTTTTTTAAAGTCTATATAATTTTCTCTTTTCCCCCCCTTTGTAGTTGGATCGACTGGTTGTGGATGCAGCAAAAGAGAAAAGAGAGATGGAGCAAAAACATTCCACCATTCAACAAAAGGTAGCTGAGGGGAAAAGTTAAAGGATATTAATTTCCATTTTACTCAATTGTTTGAGTATTGGTTTTTAGCAAGATACTGTTGTGTTGGAACAAATCCTTTGAGTTGCTTTAATAATTAAATTTGTATGTGAATTCCTCCTTTTTTTGTCAAAAGTAAAATATTTTTCAGATGTTCAGGCATTTGTTCTATTATTCTTTTATATCAAAATATTTTAAATCCATGCTCTTGAACCAGTTTGCAAAAGCATCAGTCTGTTAGGGCCTTAACTAATTTAAAAGTGGTCCTTAGTTAGACTTTAAAACACTATAGTTTCAGGTAGGCTGTTACCAGTCCCTGTAAAAGTGTGTGTGTGTGTGTGTGTGTGTGTGTGTGTGTGTGTGTGTGTGTGTGTTGGGTTGGGAGCTGTGGGTGGGTAGGTAGGGTGGAGAACACCTCAGCATCAATGTGTATGTCGGGTATTATGGGCTTCCCATCTGGCAGCACTCTAAGGCAGCACCCCCCATCTTTCATGTGATGCTGAAATTTCACTTGCATTTCTTGTTAATTTGCCTAAGCCTAGCTAAACTGATATTGGAAAAATATATTTTTAAATGAAAATTTAAATATGAAACCAGTTTTTATTTATGTGTGCTAGAAGCTTTGAATATTACAAACCTGGAATTCAACCTAATAATATTTATCTTATATAGTCAGTGATATTTTTTGTGTAGTAATCTGAAAACAAAAGGAGAGAATTATAGATTGAATATAATAATACAAGCAAATGACAAGATGCCTCTATCCTGTCATGGCAGATGCCCTAACTATGAAGGTGGTTTTCCCAGGGCGAGGCTTATTGATCACATTCCTGATTTACTAACCCCTGAGCTTTTCCCAGATGTGGGAAACTCAACTGCATAATTTGTGGTAGTGGAGGCTATGTTTGTACTTGCCCCTAAAACAGCGGTTCTCAACCTGTGGGTCGTGACCCCTTTGGCGGTCGAACGACCCTTTCACAGGGGTCGCCTAAGACCATCCTGCATATCAGATATTTACATTATGATTCATAACAGTAGCAACATTACAGTTATGAAGTAGCAATGAAAATAATTTTATGGTTGGGTCACAACATGAGGAACTGTATTTAAAGGGCCAGAAGGTTGAGAACCATTGCCCCAAAAGGAAAAAAAAGATGCCTTCTAACATTGTTTTAAAGGAATCTGTTCCCTTGTTGTTGAGCAATCAAATCAACTTTTGTTATGGTTGATTTAGAATTTAAAATACCAGTAAACTAGATCTAACATAGAACATGTCAGTGGGGAAAAAAAAAAAAGAAAGTGAAATCAGTAATAAAAGTAAGGAAAATTTTATTGGTGATGGGTTATTAATACTCAAAGAGAAATATTGTCTACCACTCCATCTTTAAATTAGTTACTTCTAGCTATAGTCTAGTAAGACTAGCTCCATCTTTTGTTTTTGTTTAAGGTTAAATTACTTTTGGTTGGGTAACTTTCTAAAATGACATTACCATGGAAAGATTTTAAAATATTTGGGACCAGTCATTTCTAATTAAAACAAGAGGTTATGATATTTGTGGAAACACAACTGTTTGCTTAAAATAAATTATTTGATTAATATTATGCATCTTTTAATGCCTTTCCCTATTATGTACACAATTCAGTTAGACTATTAAATCTAAAATTAATTTATTTGATTTTAAGTAATAGTCTATTACTATTTTCCTTTAAAGAAAGTAATGCTATTTTTGCTCATTATATATATATATATATACTTACTTTTTTTCTACCCTTAAATGCTGACACAAGGCTGCATTACAGGTAAAATAAAAAGGGGGTGGGGGGAAGAAAACAAGATCCAGTCAACTAAAAATTAAGGGAAAGTATGTCTAATGTAATTATTTTGATTTTCAAGAATTGAAGTTGACCAATTAAAGAAATAAAGATGCTATGCATAATCAATTCATGTAAACTATTTTTCAAAATGTTATACCATTCCCATTAGGCAGCACTGTATGAGAATTCCCATTGCTCCTTGCCACCTCATTGTATTGTGAGAATTTTTTTTTTCTTTTTGCCTATTTTGGTGGGTAGATAGTGACATCTCATTGTCATTTTAATTTATGCTTTAGTCACAAATGAGCTTGAGTACCTTCCCCTATGTCTCTAGTCACTTGGATATCCTGTTTGTGAAATGTCTGTTAGTCTTTTTTCCCCCGCTTTTTCCATTAGGTTGCCTAACTTGATCATATTCTTCATATATTCTGACTATATGCTCCCTTTTAGGGTAATGTGTTTGTGATTTTCACAAGCTGGGTGTTTCTTTTAAATTCTTTTATGGTTTTGTATGTGTGTATGTGTGTGTGTGTTTGTGTGTGTATCTTTTCGTGTATTGCTTAATAAATCCTTCCCAACCCAAGATCATGAAGATATATTTCCTGTATAATCTTCTAAGTGTTTGCAGGTTTGCCTTTTATGTTTCGATCTTTAATCCATCTGTAATTGTGTATGGTGTGAGGTAGAGATCCAATTTCCTTTTATTCTCACATTGATAGCTATTCAGTTATTAAAAAGTTTATTCTTTTCCTACTAGTCTGTGCTTTATTCTCTGTTATATATCACATTTCCATATACATGAGGCCAGCTTCTGGTTCTCTATTCTTCTTCATTGTGTGTGTGTGTGTGTGTGTGTGTGTGTGTGTTAATTGTGCTAATACTCTGCTGTCTTAATTATTTTAGCTATATAGTACCTCTTATATCTGACAAAGTAAAGCTTCCTCTACCCTCTTTTCTTCAAAAGTGAATTGCCTAAACTTTGCATTTCCATATAAATTTTAGAAGTATCTTTTCACGTAGCATAAAAATCGCTTTTGGGAATTTGATTGAGAGATTGCATTAGAAAAATGTGATCAGTTTGGGGAAGAATTCATATCTTTATTCTACAATTTGTTCTAATCCATGAGCTTAAAATATTTTCTTCATTTATTTAAGTTTTCTTCAATATCCTTCAGAAATTTTGATAATTTTCTTATACATCTTGTTATTTATTCCTAGACACTTAGATTACAAACTAGAGGCCCAGTGCACGAAATTCGTGCACTGGGGATGGGTGGGGGTCCCTTAGCCCAGCATGTGCCCTCTTGCAGTCCGGGACCCCTCCCTCGTTACTGCCCACCTGCTGGCTACTTCCTACCATTCGGCTTGCTGCTCCTTAGTGCTGCCACGAAGGCCTTGGGTCTGCTGGGTGCCGCGCCTGCGGGTTTGTGTCTCTGATACCCCCAGCAGCCCCAGCACCTTGATGGCGGGGCTTGGGGCTGCGGGTCTTTGACACGCAGAACAAAGAACATGGGTACAGGCCTCTCCCTCTGTAGTCGCTGCTGGGTACAGGCCCCCCACTGTGGAGGGCGGGATCCACGCAGGCCAGCCGGCAACCCCAGCCCCAGTGGGGTCCGGGGTTGCCGCCTGGCCTGCGCCCGGGCCCTCCCGCCCTCCGATGCCATGGCGATCCTGGGCGCAGGCCAGCCGGGAACCCCGGCCCCAGTGCGGTCCGGGGTTGCCGCCTGGTTTTCCAATAACGATCACCGGCTGGGGGGTGGGGGAAGGCGGCCTTTGCCCACCCCCTAGCTCTTACATGCCGCCTGGGTTGCCGATCACCATTTTTCAGTCCTTCCCCTTTCGCCTCCCGTATGCAAATTAGCCGCCATTTTTGTTGGCGGTTAACCGCCATCTTAGTTGGCAGTTGATTTGCATAAGGATATGCTGATTAGCCAATGGGAAGGGTAGCGGTCGTACACTAATTACCATGTTTCTCTTTTATTAGTGTAGATGTTATTGTAAATATTATCTTTATTTTTTTTCACTGTTTACTTTTGTACATAGTTGAGTAAAATTGACTTTTCTGTATTGATTTTATAACCAGTGATCTTGTTGTGTTCTTTTTAACACTAATTTGTCTCTGGATTCTTTGTGTACAACTTTGGACGTTCTGTGTACAAAGTCTTATCATCTGCAAATAATGGTAGTTCATTTCTTCCTTTCCAATCCTTTGCTTTTTGTTTGTTATCTTGCTGGCTAAGACTTCCATCATAATCTCAACTCAAAGTGGTAATGATGTTCCTTCTTGTCTTCTTTGCAATTTCAAAAGGGAAAGCTTCTTCCTTTTATTGGCCAACCTTATTCTTGCCTTCTGTTCCCTGGGCCCTACACCAAAGCTTCAAGTTCTCCGATGAGTCAAATGTCTTTAAGGTGAAAGCTAGCTTCCTTGCTTTGCTTTCCTCTTTGGCTTCCAATTTTCACTCAATATTTTACCTTTGAGTATTCCTTTCTGATTTGTCAGCTCATCAATGTATTTACATGCTAATATATATTTTACTCAACATTATTAGTTACTTTCATTATAAAATAATATAAGCCTTCTCATTTTAAGTACTATAAAATATTAATTTGATATTAATAATAATGAAATTAAAGGCCTAATTTACCTCAAAAATATAATTGAAAATTAGAATACTACAACTGTACTACATTTTCAATGAAGTCTTATTTGATATTTTAGATAGGATCAGGGTCATTAAAAAACTGCTGATGTTACAAATGAAACTCAGTTATAACTATTGCTGACTTAATCCTGTCTGCATAATTATATAAATTATAGCCTCAAAGAAATTTTAAGTGAAGGAATTAAAGTTTCCCTGATTTTTTTCCAAAGAAAAAATAGAAAGAAATGTACTAATTCATTTACAGATTGTTTCATTTGATTATTTTGTATTATCATGTCCTCTTATGGGTTAATTTTGAGACATGTCAGGTGAGCTTTGTTTTTAATTCTGATTTTAGCTTACTTCCTTTTTCCATCTTTGTAGACTTTTAGGTTTGGACGGCCCTTATTTTTTCTCACTCTGCCTCCCCTTTAGTGCAGGAACTCCATGTCCAGCAATCTTGGCAGGTGCTCATTCAGCTTTTGTCAAAATCTTTCTCAAGCAGAAAGTTTACTACTACTTAACAAGATAGCATTCTAATTTTGATCATTGGTCCAGAGTACTTTTGAAATTACTGAGACTGATTTTTAAAGTTTTAAATTTGGGGATAGCAGCAATCTTGCATTTTTATCAGATTACTTTGGAAGTTTATCAGGAAAAAATTTAATTGTGGGATTTGTGATTTCAATATTTCATGAATCCTTGGGATAAATCTAAAGTTTGTATTGTATACAAGTGAAGATTAGAATGATAGGTTATGAATGATTCTATAGTCCTCATATAAAAAAGAGAACTCGACATGCGCACTTCAGACTGTCGCTTTCCTTTGTAACACTAAATTTTATTTTAGGACAAAATGCCTTTATCTTATTTTATTATTCCCATATGGTGGAGTTATTACTCCTATCAGATTAAAAAACTACAATGATAGTAATATAATTAGAAAATAGTGGTAATACCATTTGAAAGTATCCATATTCCCTTTTTAATAGCACACACATCACCATAAAATGTTGGGAAAAATGAAAACATTTTAAATATAACACCCTGCCGTAACCGGTTTGGCTCAGTGGATAGAGTGTCGGCCTGTGGACTGAAGGGTCCCAGGTTCGATTCCGGTCAAGGGCATGTACCTTGGTTGCGGGCACATCCCCGATGGGGGATGTGCAGAAGGCAGCTGATCGATGTTTTTCTCTCATCGATGTTTCTAACTCTCTATCCCTCTTCCTTCCTCTCTGTAAAAAAAAAAAAAAATAATAACACCCTGTATAATATTTAGTTGTTCTCCTTGTATACATATTATTTTGTGTTTTTAGTCACAGTGTGTATAGAGTTTATATTGTTTTGTTTTCTCTTTCAGAGTATATTTCATACAATCACCTGTGTTTTATGTCATCATCATTATAACAATTATTGCATAATAGTCCACTGAATTGAAATTCTTCAATATGTTGATGCATTCTTCTGTTATTGAACATTTAGGTCTCCCCCTTTCTTATGACTATTGTTGATGTAACTATCTTAATGCGAAGTTTTTCTACCACTTGAGCTGTTTTTCTAGGATAAATTTTTTGTCTAGCAGCTTAGTCAAATCTTATGAAATTTCTTGTGTTATTTTGTCTAGGATTTCTCCAGTGATGATTCTAAGTTAGAATATAATGTAGATGCTGCAAATGGCATTGTTATGGAAGGATATCTGTTCAAACGAGCCAGCAATGCCTTCAAAACTTGGAACAGGTAATATATTTCAAATAATAGTCTCAATTTTTCCATATTCTCAGTCTTCCAACTTTTCTTGTCATTTGGCAACTCTTTCCTTCATAATTCTCTAAATTCATAGTTCATGGTAATTTTCCTGAACCCAGTTCATTGAAGATAAGATGCCCTTCTAGGAAAGGGGACCCTAAGGAGCAAATGAAAAATGACAACACTAACTTAAGCAAAGTTTAAACCAGGAAGCAAGGAGTTTTATAGTGATTGGTCTATACTGATTAGACCATTATAATAAGGACATTTTCAATTTGAGCTACCCCTCATATTTGTTAGGAAATAGATCTGATTACAAATCATGTGTTGAATATAATGGGTAAATAGGCCAAGTGAACTCTTCCCCCCTTTGATTTCCTGTCCTATATGATGTTTTGTACATTTTCACTTAGTTGTTTATGAATTTTAAACAGGGTGATTCTTATCTTTGCAATAATTTTAATTAACGAGGAGTTTTAGGAAATGGGATTGTTCATATGTGAAGTGTGTATGGTAGCTGGTGCTCCTTTATTCTAAACTTGATAGCTACCAGAAACTCTGCATTTTTTTTGCTAAATTTATTTCTATAAAATATTAATTCAGTAAATTTTGTTAAATGAATGAATGTGTAAAATATTTTATTGTATTTTCCCATGTATTAATATAATAAAGTGAAATCACTTCAGACATTAAGGCATTAAAAAAAAGATTGGGTTGTCTCAGGATAATCCTGAATAGCAGTCATTAATTTTTTAAATTCAGTGATGCCTATCTTTTTGCAAAAAAAACAAGATAGTAGTCAGAACAGTTTTGTATTAATTAAAAGTAGTATTGGGTTCTAGTTAATTGATTTTCTATTATATTATAGTTGAATATATAAATTTTATTCTCTACTTAAACATAATATGAATTCACTTAATGATGGAGAAGATTTTATTTTTAAAAAGTGTACATTAGCAAAATAAGAAGAGTTTTCCTGGTAAGTTTAGTATACATTTTTGTTTAAATGGAAATGACCATGCTTGAATATTTAACATATTAAAATGGGTTCCTAGTGTACTTATTCTGATTTTTTGGTGAAGAGGTTGTAGAGATAAAACATTCATTGATATTTTCAAATTTGAGCATTTCCCAAGAATTTGGTATTACCAAATGTTCAAGTGGTACATGGTGTGTTTTATTTGAAATTATTTTTCTTTACCTGAGAATGAATATAAACTAGAAAGAATAATGATTATATGTGACTAGAAGCCCGGTGCACGAAATTCATGCACAGATAGGGTCCCTAGGCCTGGCCAGTGATCAAGGCCGATCTGTGGGGCGACTGGCGGGGCAATTGGGGGGCCCCCACTGGCACCCGCCTTGGCTGGCCTGCATTGAGCATCTGCCCCCTGGTGGTCAGTGTGCGTCATAGCAATCTGTTGTTCTGCCAGTCGTTCTGCCGTTTGGTCAATTTGCATATTAGGCTTTTATTATATAGGATATTAAGCCTCTTTGAGTTATATAGAACTTTAAAAATAATATATGAATATAGAAGGACCAACTAAGATGGTCTAGTTAGAAATAATTTTATGACCTATAGTAAAGTGAAAATGAAAAAGTAAAACTCTGTTTTCTAAGCTGTAAAAACCAAGACAATAATCTTTCAAACCTTTCCTGGCATATTTCTATAGCCGGAGTAGGAAATAAAAATAATGTGATTATCAAATTTTTATAGTAAAGATATTTCAACCAATTCAGTTTCATGAGGTAATGTTAGAATTGAATTTTAACCTTCAGATTTCAAAACAACTTACTTAAAGTTTAACATAGTGAAAACCCAATAAATCCATAGAAACTATACCATTATGTTAAGAAGAATGAAATGAACTTTCATGCGGCACTCCAGGGAGAAATGATGTCAGACTTCAAAATGAAGTACAGTGTTAGTGGAAAATTACATTGCCATTTAGGAGAGTAGAAAAATTTTTAAAAATGTACATTAGCAAATTTGAATTCTGATTTAAGCATGGACCTTATTTTTATTATTTGTTTCATGAATATTAATTAGCATAGATAATAAAATATAACTAAAGTCAAGTAGGAAATACTATTCTCAATTGTAGACATGTAATCTACTGTTAGCAAAGTGAAAAAAATAGTACCTATATAAGTGAGACTACTTTATAAAGGAGAGGCTATCTATATGTAATAGGATGACGCTTATTAATTCAAATCATAGATCATAGTTCACCACCCTGATTGTTAGTAAAGAAATGGAGGTGCTGAGAGATGGTTGCTCATTTAAGGTTACACAGCTGGTTTGTGACAAAATTGAGGCCCCAAACCTGGCATTTTTTGAAAACTTGATAGGGAAATTCCAAGCAGTCTATATTTTGATACAACAAAATACAACTTCAGCTATTAAAAAACAGCTTAAGGGAGACATCTGTAATAGTGTCACAATTAAAAAAAAAAGTTAGAGGATTAACAAGAAAAAAAGTAGCTTAGAAACTAGTCAATTTGCATTGTTAGGAAAAATTATGCATAGCAAATTTATTTTATTTTCATGAACTTTTAAAGAACATTTTGATGAAAACACTGATAAAACAGACTTGTAGGAATAAAGCATCTAAACACTATATAAAACTCACAAACAAATGCAAAAGTCAAAACCTTGTAACAGAAGAGTTAAGTATTTTTTAGGTTATAAGCCTATAACTATAAAAGGAAAAAGAAAGAGTTATCTATTAAATGTTATTTCAACTTTCTTCTGCTTTTTAATTATAAAAATTTAGAATGTATCTGAATTTCTTATGAATTTTATGAAAGGTTGAATCCCAGAAAGTACTGCAAATAATTTTTCTTTCCGTATATATGACTTTAGTGTCTAATCTGCTTCTTGAATTCTCTATCCAGCTTGATTAAATATAATCTAGCCTCTGAATAAAAGACTATTTGTGATATTTGTGCCTTAACTCTAAAAATCCAGCTCTTCAAACAAAAATTTTCCTGCCTACTTTTAAGTTTTTGTTTGTGTGTGTGTGTGTGTGTGTGTGTGTGTGTGTGTGTGTGTATTTTTCTGATTGTTCATGCATTATATTTAGGGGAACATTTTTTTTTTTTGGTCATAATCACCATAGGTACCAATCACAAATTTACCATTATTTGTAGTTTTATAGAATAGTGGCATATAATATTTTCAAAATTAACTTTTTAAAAAGACCTCCTTTCTGAGAGAAATGTGAATTTGACTACGAATTTCTGATAGTTTTAAAACCTGATCTTGTGCTTTATAAAATCTAAGTATATTTTGACAGCATTATTCTATAACCTGAAATTAACTGAAGAGATCATATTTTGTGTGATGTGGTTGAGATAATGTAAGGAGTGAAAACGTTTTATGTTTCATGAATTATTGAGTTTGTTTCTGGTTGATTTCAGATATTCTTAGTTTTTGTGTCTTAAGATTTTTATACATCTATAATATATATATTTTCTGAGAACATGTAAGATCTACTAAAATAATATTTCATTTTCAGGCCATTTTCTCAGTTTGGCAGCTTTACTTCAGGCTCAAATCAGTGGTAGATGAATTACTAGTATCTATATTTCTCTTTTACTTTTAATGATAAATTCAGAAAGGATGATTAACCGGGAAAATAATTAAATATTAAAAGTTATTTAGTTTTAAGCTGGTAAAACAAATAAAACTGAATAATTATGTGCTAGCTATGCTAAGTCTATGTTAAATTAAAAAATAAAGCTAAAGGAATAAAATGTATTATACAGTTTCTTAAAGCAGAGCATCTATATGCTGCTAATACAGATATAAATTTTTATTTGTGTGACTTTGTTTAAAAATAAGATGTACATACATAGGTTAAAGATGAACTCTACTTATGTGTGGCCTTAGAGTCTGCTATAATTTAACGAAAAGGGTTTGAGCAGGTGGGTGAGTTTATTTGACTGATAATATTTTATAATCACTGAAATTCTTAATTAGTGATCCCACTTTTCTTATGTAAAGTTTTTATTTATCTCAGGTTTATATAGACATAGCTATAGTGATTGTTAAGATGAAGAAAGGTACTATCTATATTTAATAGCTTTGACAACAGAGGCAGAAAATAATAGTAGAGGTATACCCAAGTGTGCTAAGTCCTACAGAACTTTATTATAACATAATACTAGAAGAAAATTTTTGAATATTTCTGAAATACTAGTTTTCAGATTCCTAACAGTTGGAATTAATTGTACACGTGCATATATGTATAATATGTGAAAAAATATGCAACAGATTTTCGATTATTTTATTAGATTATAAGCTTAAGCTTGTTTCTTTAATTCTTGCTTTATTTTCATATCATGCTAGTCCTTTGCTTATTTTGCACATTTGCGTTTTCATTCTTTTACCACCTTTCCCTTATGTTTTAATCTGCCCCATTTTTTCACATGACAGGAAAAAGCCCGATCATATCAGGTACCAAATGGCTTTCTTCCCCTCACCCCCTACCTTACTCCAATTTCTTCTTTGGCACGAGAAAGCTCATAATTAACCTGCATTTTGTTTGGATTACTTGCAATGGATATACAGTCTCTTATGTTTTAATTGGTAAGAAAATGTAAACATCTTATTTGAGGATCGAAATTATACCTTTTCATTGTCTATGTCCTCAATTTCTTTAATCTGGAAAAGAACATATGATGTGTTTATAGTTACTCAAAGAAGATTATACATTGAGTAATATGATTTATTTATTTATTTATTTATTTATTTATTTATTTATTTATTTAAGGGAAATAAACAATAACTAGGAATTAGTCCCTTTGGTAATAACCAGATTGGTTTTGTTGAAAGGAAACACTGTCAGTTCTTAGATTTTTTTTTTTTTTACCATTTTGTTTTTTTCCCTGTGAAAAATAAAATTGATTTTGAAATAAAGGAGCATAAATGTTCAAGCTTTTAATTTCGTTAAATGTTCAACTGTTTGACACCTTTATGAATGTGTGCATGAATCCATTACCTGTATAATTTTAGTGAAAAAGCTTCTACCAGTTTAGAAGTTTGACTTTTACCCACGTTCTTGATTTCAAGTACAATTCTGGGGATAGTGGCCAAATAGGGTAAAAGATACTTGATTTATATTTATTTATTTTTTGTTAATCCTCACCTGAGGATATTTTTTGCATTAATTTTTTAGAGAGACTGAAAGAGAGGGAGGGAGGCATTGGTGGGAGGGGGGCAGGAGGGAGAGGGAGAGGGAGAGGGAGAGGGAGAGAGAGAGAGAGAGAGAGAGAGAGAGAGAGAGAGAGAGAGAGATGAGAGACACAGCAAATTGGTTGCCTCTTGCACTTGCCCCTAGAGGCCCAGGATTGAACCTGTAATCCAGGTACAATCCCTTGACTGGGAATTGAACTGAGACCTTTTGGTACTCCGGCCAATGCTCTAACACTGAGCCACACTGGCCAGGGCTTGATTTATTTTTTTAAAATATATTTCCCTTTCCCCCAATTTTGTCATCTGGAAAGCTCTCATTGGTCTTGACAATTTAATAATATTTATGGATATAATATTTTGGTCTCAAGTCTTTATTATATTGTTACTCCAATTTGAGAGAGATATAAAATTGTGTTTTATTTTTCTTAATGAACCAATAAATTTTCCTTTTTAAAACACTGTCTTTTATTTTGGCTTTGGGACAGCTTCTGAATAGAATATAGTGTAATTATCAGTACAGTGCTTTCCAAAATTTGTCTTTTTTATTATTTAATTACCCTTTTAAAGTACCTTCAAATTGCAGATAGCGTGAGCTTAAAATATTAAGTATTTTTCTATATCCTAGAGGGATATGTGAACTATCTCATTCTCCTTTTAATAAAAATGTTAATAATAACTAAGGAGCAATTAAAAATTTTATCCCATTTTACTTACCTGGTTAATGTGTTGGATCAATGTAAATGAGTACAGTCAGCTCCTTTTCCCTTATTTTTTAATGGTAGAGGAGGGGAGATGGTGTCATAAGATACACAAATCTTAGTAATTGAAAATTTTTTCTACCTAGCATACATTGTGGTTTTATTCCTTAGGAGGTGTTGCCAAATTCAGATGAATTTATAGTGTTTTTCCTGAGTGTACAAAAACTGTTATGAGAAAGTCACCAGAAACAGAAAGATGACAGGGGAACTAAGTTTCAGAAATATGTATCTTCTGTAAAGTTCATAACCAGAGGAAATGATCTCTGACAAAAAAACATGTTTTTATCTAATGTTTTGTTATTATTTCTAGAGGTTATGATCCTAAGATACAGCAGGTCAAAATAAATTTGTTTTTTGAAGACTAAGAAGCATGAAAAGCTTACATAGTTGTATGGCTGTTTTTCCATTGTGGTAGGCTACTTATTTTTCTATTTAGTTTTTCATCAAGTTATATAATACTAGAGGCCCAGTGCACTAAATTTGTGCATGGGCAGGGTCCCCTAGGCCTGGCTGGCAATCAGGGCCGATCGGGGCCTTTCGGTGCTGGTCGGGGCCTTCCTTCCCCGGCTGCTGGCTGCCGGCCTGGGCCTTCCTTCATTCTGTGCCACCCCCAGGTGGTCAGCACACGACATAGCGAGCCATCGAACTCCTGGCCTCCCGGTCGAACTCCCGAGGGGACACTTTGTATATTAGCCTTTTATATATATAGATGTTACTATGAAACATACGCATTTTTATTAATATAGTTTACACTACCTCATATGATTTTTTAAAAAACTCTTCAATCAGTAGCAGAGATTATTTCCATTGCATGTCATCCCATGTGGCAGGGCTGCACCATTTTGTTTGTTTGTAGGTATTTCCTTTAACATTTCTAACCATGTGTCCCAAAGCAAAGAAACCCAGAAGTTCTTCCTTTTCTAGCCTGCCTCTTGATGATTTGCATTTAGAGGCAACCCACTTGGTTTTATCTAGATGCTAATTTAACAAATCTCTATTAATGGTAAAGGTGATACCTTTTTAAAGTAGCAAGAAAACCTAACAATCTGTCTAGCTTAAAATTAGAAAATCATTTCCTCAGCTTTGGAGAATTAATTTTTAAAAATAGAAATTCTAAATATGTCTAAATACAATTTCCAATGCCTTTTTTTTAGTATCAATGAAAAGGTAGAATCTCTATCTGCTAATAGATTAATAACTAATGTTTACAATAGAAATCATCTCACATGAAACTAATTTTAAAATAATGACTCAAATGTTTTACCTTTCATGCTTGATGAGAATTTTTGCTTTTATGAATGGCTTTTGGCTGTGATTTTTTTTTTTTTGTAAGTCTTTAGGTTCTTTTACTGTTTCAATAGATTAGAATTAGTAAATATGCCATAAGTAGCTTAGCTTTGTCTTCTAAAGAAGATTGCAAGTAAATTTTTTGCCTAATAATTTACAATAATGAGCAGAACAATATAAATATTTGGATGAAACATTTTTAATAATAACTTACTATTCTGTTTCTATGATTATATGAAAGTAGGCCAAGTGAATTGGCAGTTTTTTTTGTTTGATAGCAATTGTAAAATGATGATTTAATTTTCTGTTTTGCTTACCATTACCAAATCACTTGTTGAATTAGCTGCAGAAAGGTTGAAACAAAGCACCATTTATTTCAATGTTTTAATGTATACAAATACATAGTCTTATTTACAATATAAATTTATTCCCACTTTATAATAAAAGCAATTATTTGGGGGGAAAGATTTTGGTTATTTTGAGGAACCTCAAAAAAATCTTTTACTTTAAAAAACAATTATTATTTGATGATAGCATAAAAGGTAGCTTTTGTTAGGATTTAAATTTCTGACTTAAAATGAATCAAAATATAGTAATTTTACTTTCCTAATCTGTCTTATTAAAATTGTTTAAAATTGTTCTTTACTTTCAATAGTTATTTTATTGGCATCAATTTATATAAAGCAAAACGAAACAATGTACTTCTCAAAACATAATTATCATTACTTCTCAAAACATAATTATCATAAACTGATTTTCTAGTGCTTTCCCAGATATTTTGTTCCTAACAACAACTGAAATAAAATGTGTTGGTGAAAACTTAATCTATTTTGTATTTATTTAGACGCTGGTTTTCAATACAGAACAATCAGTTGGTTTACCAGAAAAAGTTTAAGGTAGGTGTTTTGTTAAGTAATTAAGTGAAAAATCTAGTGACTCCCCAGTTTTGGTTATTTATCTGTTTGCTTTGGGAAAGCATTTAAGTTCATAAATACTCATCTGTGCAAAATTACTGTTAATTCATTTTATGTTTGGGCATGTATACTAGTAAGAATGTTTAGAAGTGGAAAGTATCCACATTCGATTCTTAAAAGCAGTGATTTTGAATCCCGAATTCTTAATTCCTAGCTTTGAGATGGATTTTTTTTTTTTCTGTCTCAGGATTGACACTTTTTTACTTCACATGTTTCTTTGTCTATTTGTGTGACAAGAATAATACAACCACTCCACAAGTACTATTTTGAGGCTGTAGAAAAAAAATGCATTTTAAGAAGTAACGCCTTACGGCCACTGATGATAATATAGATATTAGAAATGACATTAAAATGTTACCTTGAAGTAAGTTAAATAAAAACCTCTAAATTCGTTAATGTTCTTTTTATATATTCTTTTTCCTGAACCTTATTTTAAGGGTGAGGAGTTTTCATTTATTAGAAAGGCATACAGAAATTACATGTGGCGTGAGAATGTGACAACTCACTTCCCTCCCAAGTAATGTCCAAACATGCTATCTTTACCTCTTTGGACATCTCCTGCTGAAGGCACTGATCCTTGTCCCCTCCCCACTGTACCTTGACTTCTCTGCCCTCCCTCTCCTGTCACCAACCTTGTTGGTGTTCACTCAGAATACTACAGTTGCAGGTGACAGTGGCCCAGGAGAAATTATGGGAAGTTTGCTGTATGTGGAAGGAGGATAATGAAATGGTTTGTAGACACCATTCAAAGCGTTAAAGATTTTGTTCCTTCAACTTGTATAGATGTTAATGCTCACAGCTTTTTCTTTTTCTTTTTGTTCTGAAGGTTCTGGTAACTTGTGGTGTATTTCTTTCTATTTCCCTGTGACCGTCTTTTTTCTTTTCTTTTCTCCTTTTCCCTTGCTCTGTCTCTTCCCACTATGCACAGATAAACATTACCTACAAACTCCTTAATCTGATCTGTGGAGAATGTAGAGTTTAAAAACATGAATAAATACTTTAAATCCCACCCCCTCCAATTTAGAAAAAAAGAACCATAGTTAATTGGTGGCTTGATTTTTACCCAGTTAGCTTTTATGAATGATGTATTCAATTGTAAATTTGAAATATTCACTTTACTCTTGAGATGACACAATATGAAATTTCTAATTAGCTCATGGTTTCTTCTGTTCTGATACTTGGTTTTGAGTATTTTTTTAAAAATATATTTTATTGATTTTTTTACAGAGAGGAAGGGAGAGAGAGAGAGAGTTAGAAACATCGATCAGCTGCCTCCTGCACATCTCCTACTGGGGATGTGCCCACAACCCAGGTACATGCCCTTGACCGGAATCGAACCTGGGACCTTTCAGTCCGAAGGCCGACGCTCTATCCACTGAGCCAAACCGGTTTCGGCTTTAGTATTTTTTTTTTTAATTAAATACTAGGAAATGATAAAACCTTTCTCATTTTCGTTGGTATTTTAAGAAGGATATATAGGCTTCTTTTTTTTTTCTTTCCAATTATTTAAAACTTGACTCATTAAAGACTTCTGTTTTTGGAGGAAAGTAGTTTTTATTATATGTGAGTAGGGACCAGGAGCTCAATGGATATGAAAGAAAATTAACAGGAAGCTGACATTTATTGAGTACCTACTAACTAATTGCCAAGTGTTGGATTAAAACTATTTTATTTAATTCTTATACAGCAATTTTATGAGGCAGGTAAAATTATTAACAGGGTATAATTACCTTTATTAGTTATATCTATGTTGATAAGTCCTGTCTCTAAATTAAGAAAAATATAAATCTTTAAGACCACTTATTCCAAGTAATATTTTTAAGTATTATTGGTAGTAGTATTTAAAACCTAGATTGATAAATATGGGAGTTCTGTTTCCTTATTGTAGGATAACCCCACTGTGGTAGTGGAAGATCTAAGGCTTTGCACAGTGAAACATTGTGAAGACATAGAACGGCGATTCTGCTTTGAGGTGGTCTCTCCAACCAAGTGAGTGGTTCTACACAATTTGAGAGTTGCTTTTATGTTTCTATAGCTTGTTTTAAAAGAACTTTCCAGAGTAGAGAAAGATTTGTTTCACTTGTGGTGGTCTGTGCTAACTAGAAAAAAGTGTCTTAAAAGTAAATTTCATTGTTTAGTGATTACAGGTATTAGAGTCAGAAATTTCTGTAACTTCTACCCAGTATCATATTCTTTAAATTCCATAAAGATTATTGATGTGGCCATATGAAAACTTTTTAGTTGTCATGGATGATAAAGTCAACTCATATATCAGATTGATTTTTTTATAACTATCATTTTATATTTCTACCCAATAGAAAAAAAAGTTTTATTTATATGGTAAATTTAAAGTTCGTGTTTTTTTGTGTGTGTTTCTTTTTTTAATGCGAAGGAATGGGTGATTTCTTTCCAGTAGGTAACTTATTTCATTAATACCTTGATTTCTTATTGAATACAATCTGTCCTAAAGATAGATGAAATAAAAATCGTTCAACAGAAATGATTATTTTTTGTTAGAAATTATTGTATAACAAAGTCAGCAAAAAAGTAAACATTATTATTCTTTTTTTGGTTAATTTAGTGACTGAGAAAACAATGTTATTTCCCTTTAGAAGTTGTATGCTTCAAGCAGATTCTGAAAAAGCTGCGCCAGGCATGGATTAAGGCTGTTCAGACCAGTATTGCTACTGCTTATAGAGAGAAGGGTGATGAATCAGAGGTTAGTAAACAATACTGCAATACCAGATGATATATTTGCAAAAGTTTTTAACTTTAATTGCAACCTTGTATGATTCTAACATTCTTTAAGTTTTGTTAAATTGAGGTGTAATTGACAAGTAACTTTATATTAGTTTCAGGCATACAATGTAATGATTCAATATTTGTATATACTACAAAATGATCACCACAGTAAGTCCAGTTAACATCGGTCACCATACATAGTAACAAACATTTTTTTCTTATGAGGAGATTTTAACATTTACTCTCTTAGAATTTTTCAAATATGCTACATAGTGTTATTAACCATAGTCACCACACTGTATATAATATCTTCATGACTTATTTACTTTATAACTTAGAGTTTGTATCTTTTGACTCCCTTCACCCATAACATTCTTTTTTTTATGGAGGATGATTTTTTTCATAATTGAAACGTTATTTTTAAAATCTAGACTCAGTTTTTCTTTTGTTTACTTCTCTTGACTTTACCTGTCATTTTATTTTAATATTTAAATATGTTTAATTCTGTATTTGAATATTGTCCCAGATTGACAGAAGATGGTCTGATGCAAATATTTCCTCCAAATATTATTTTAATTAATAATAAAATAATGAATGTGAAAGGTATTTAAAATTAAAACTGGGTAAAATCTAAAACAGGATGACTCAAATTGTCTCTTAGTTGAAATCTTCCTGGAGAAGATAAGCTTAATATGGACTTTTGGGTCATAGTCTGGCTTCAGCTTCTCAGTGAGTTTATATATTCTTGAGCAAGGTCATCAGTGCGACTTGAGAAACGGAACTCACCGCTTTGGTAGGATCCTGAAAATGAGTCTTTTGTGAGTCCATGCATGTCTGAAAGTGTCTTTATTCCGTCATCATACTTGTTTGATAGCTTGGTTGGGTGTGGAATTTTTAGGTTGGAAATAATTATTCTTAAGAATTTTAACTGCATTGTTTTTTTTTGGTTCCAGTGTTGCCATTGGAGTCTTTCTTATTACAGTACTATCTTTTGTAGCCTTCTTCTCCAATTCTCCTATTTGTTTTTCCTGGAATTTCTGAACTAATCTTATGGTTTTCTAATTTTTGTGTGTCTTTTTGCTCTAATTTCTGAGATATTTTCTCTATTGACTATTTCCGTTCTGGTAGCATGTATTTAATTTAACCATAGTTACAACACTATCTAGTATATTGTCATGACATATTTATTTTATGACTTGGAGTTTGTATCTTTTGACTTCCGTCACCCATAACTAGAGTTTCTTTCTCTTTGCTGACTGCTTATACATGTAAACCTGTTCTTTTTTCATGGCTGCATTGTTTGAACTGTGGTTCTTAGCCTCGACTGCACATTATGATAACACGGGGAGCTTAAAAAAATAAGTCTCAGCATCGAACAGACTGTCAAACTACAGCAGGAAGGCCGGGGAGGGTTGAGTGGGGGGTGTAAGAGATCAACCAAAGGACTTGTATGCATGCATATAAGCATAACCAATGGACACAAGACACTGGTGGGTAGGGGAGGCCGGGGGAAGGTCAAGGGGGGGGGGGAAGGAGACATATGTAATACTCGTTGTAATACTTTAAGCAATAAAACAAAAATTTAAAAAAAGTCTCAGAATTAGAGTCTACCACTGAACAGTTGAATGGAGTTGGGACCCAGGTATCAATATTTTAAAAAGATTCCTAGGTGATTTCTGTGTACATGCATTGTTGAGAACCATTATGTTCTAGAGCAAGCATGTCAAACTCGCTGCCCGTGTACCACATCTCGTTTATCTGGCCCGTGATAGCCTTTGAGTTTGACATGCCTTTAGAGGCTTGGTTCCTTGGCTGTCTGGTAAACCTGCTCAAGATTATACGGTAGCTAAAAACCTCTTTGGAAGCTCTGAGAACAGTTAGGACTTTGTTGACTGTGAGCTTTGCTGAAGTCTGGACCATTTATTTTTTGAGGAACAACCAGAGTTAGGAACTTTGGGGTCTTTTCACCTGGTATGATTCCCCAGAGAACATTCACCAACCTCCAGCATAGGGGTAAGGGACTGACTGGGAGCTCATTACTGGGGGTCTCAACATTCAGTGTGTATTCGTTCATTTAGTCCTCTGCCTTCCATCTTTCAGGTAAGTCCCTTCCAGATACTCTGATTTACTTCACCAGAGAATGTACTTTCAGTCACTTGTGTTTATGAATAGGGAGCAGAACCCTAATGGCATGAAATTGGGGAGGGGACCTCGGATGCTAACTGCTTCTTACACAATCATTTCTCCAACTTTTATCCCCACTTCCAGGGTTAACATAATATAAATCAGTGGTTTTTAGTCTGTGTGTGACAAGAATTTTTAAATCATGCAATACCTTACTATTTAGTCAGGGACACTGACCTCTTTTCCCTTAGATTGTTAAATTAAAAACAACAACAACAAAAACAGTAACAACCAACACAATAGCCTGACTCAAAATTATACCTTTTTTTTTTCAGATCTGCAAAAAAAAATGTAATCTTTGGTGTCCTACAGAATTTTAATAGTTTATCTGTGCCATGATATGAAAAAGGTTGAAAAGTCACCGGTTTAAATCCTTGAGCCCTTTGAATATTATGTGATGTAAATTGGTGAACTCTTGAGATCTGCCACAGAGAATTCCCCATGAAGCTCCAAACCCGTCTTCCCAGGAAGAAAACACAGATCGTATCCCGAACCCCAAAACGTGGTGGATAAAGCCACGTGGCGCCCAGCGGTGGGGGGAGAGGGCAGAGGCAGGAGGAGGGAGAAAACCACCCCCAGCCTGCCTTTTTTTACTACCATCCTTAGATTTGGCCTTGGTCTGTTCAGTTACTTTATGTACCCATTTTCCAGCTCCTAAAGTTTTGTTGCTCTTATTTATGTTATTCCTGTTCTTATGGGTAAACATTGTTTTTAATGAAAAAAAAGTTTTTAAAAAGTAGATTACACATATTATGCCATTCCACACCTAATAGTAATTTCTTAATATCATCTATCACCCAGTCTATATTCAGATGTTCCCAGTTGTCTTAAAAATGTTACTGACAACCTTTTGTACAAAGTAGGATCTTACCTATGCTGGCATTGCATCTGGTTATGTCCCTCAGATCTTTCAATCTAGAACAATCCCTTTTTTACATGGCAATGATTTATTAAAGAGACCAGGTTAATTGTTTCCATGCCTTAAGATTACATAATGGGTGGTGCGTATGCTTCATGTTGCAACAGGAGACAAAATATTTGGTTATGCAACCATTGCTAATCCTGAGATCAGGCTTCTGTGTGAAGACGAAATGGACATACTGGATTTGAGAAGTGACAATGTGATTCCTCCAAATGACAATGTGATTCCTCCATTTCCTCCCTTGTTTCCATTCTGTTTTGTTATTTTGTATAACGCATCTACTTCCTGTTACTTTCACCCTCATAAAATCTCCCCCATCAACTATTCATCAAATGGTTTTACAGCTGAGTTTGCTATTTCGTTTTTTTTCCTGTTCTTTTATTTTAATTAAATCTTTATTGTCCAGATTATTACAGTTGTTCCTCTTTTTCCCCCCATAGCTCCCCTCCACCCGTTTCCCACCCCACCCTCTGCCCTCACCCCCCACCCCCCCACTGTCCTCATCCATAGGTGCACGATTTTTGTTCAGTCTCTTCCCGAATCCCCCACACCCCTTTCCCCCCCAAGAATTGTCAGTCCACTCCCTTTCTATGCCCCTGATTCTATTATAATCACCAGTTTATTCTATTCATCAGATTATTTATTCACTTGATTTTTAGATTTACTTGTTGATAGATGTGTATTTGTTGTTCATAGTTTGTATCTTTACCTTTTTCTTCTTCTTCCTCTTCTTAAAGGATACCTTTCAGCATTTCATATAATACTGGTTTGGAGGGATGAACTCCTTTAGCTTTTTCTTACCTGTGAAGCTCTTTATCTGACCTTCAATTCTGAATGATAGCTTTGCTGGGAAAAGAAATCTTGGTTGTAGGTTCTTGGCATTCATCACTTTGAATATTTCTTGCCACTCCCTTCTGGCCTGCAAAGTTTCTGTTGAGAAATCAGCTGACAGTCGTATGGGTATTCCCTTGTAGGTAACTGAGTTTCTTTCTCTTGCTGCTTTTAAGATTCTCTCTTTGTCTTTTGCTCTTGGCATTTTAATTATGATGTGTCTTGGTGTGGTCCTCTTTGGATTCCTTTTGTTTAGGGTTCTCTGTGCTTCCTGGACTTGTAAGTCTATTTGTTTCACCAGGTAGGGGAAGTTTTCTGTCATTATTTCTTCAAATAGGTTTTCAATATCTTGCTCTCTCTCTTCTTCTGGCACCCCTATAATTCGGATGTTGGTATGCTTGAAGCTGTCCCAGAGGCTCCTTACACTATCTTCGTATTTTTGGATTCTTTTTTCATTTTGCTTTTCCGGTTGGGTGTTTTTTGCTTCTTCATATTTCAAATCTTTGACTGGATTCTTGCGATCCTCTAGTCTGCTGTTGGGAGTCTGTATAATATTCTTTATTTCAGTCAGTGTATGTTTAATTTCTAGTTGGTCCTTTATCACAACCTCGAGGGTCTCATTAGATTTCTTGAGGGTCTCATTAAGTTTATCGGCGGTTTCTAGAAAATTCTTGAAAAACCTTAAAAGTGTGGTTTTGAACTCTATATCCAGTAGTTTGCTTTCCTCCATTTCTGTCATTTGTGTCCTGTTTCTTTGTCTTGGCATTTTTTATGCTTCGCTGTGTCGATAGAGTGGCTTTCTGTGCTAGGTGTCCTATAGGGCCCAGTGGCTCAGCCTCCCCAATTACCTGAGGTAGACACTCTTGGTGCACCCCCTTGTGGGCTTTGTGCACAGTCTTGTTGTAGTTAAGCCTTGATTGTTGTAGGTAACACTGGGAGGGATTGACCTTCAGGCCAGTTGGCTGTGAGAATCAGCTGTGTCTGCAGTGGGAGAACTTCTGTGCTGGAGACACCCCTCCGGGGCAAGACTTGCTTCAATG